ACGCTGAAGACAAGGTCGTATCTTGGATTTCCTCTTGGAACGGTAAAAGAACGTTAATGGAAATAAAGTCTGTAGTTAAGTGAATAGCAACGTACCGACATCTCCACTATGACAAATGCACCATGGCTGTGTAATGTCATGTTGATGTTAGGGGATACTGGGTAAGGGGCACACAGGACCTCTCTGCATGATCTTTAGAACATTTTTGGAAAATCTAAAATTATTCCCCGAAATATTTTATTTAAAAATAAATAAATAAAAGTTATCTGGGGCTGGACGTGGTGGCACATACCTGTAATTCTCTTGCCTCGGCACGTTGGGAGGCTGAGGCAAGAGAATCACTTGAGCCCAGGAGTTCAAGACCAGCCTGGGCAACATACGAGACCACGTCTCTAGAAAAAAAATCAGAAAATTAGCCGGGCATGGTGGCACATGCTTGTAGTCCCAGCTACTTGAGAGGCTACGGTAGGAGGATCGCTTGATACCAGGAGGTCGAGGCTGCAGTGAGCCACGATCGTGCCACTGCACTCCATCCTGGGCAACAGAGTGAGACCCAACTTAAAAAAAAAATTTTTTTAAGTTATCTGGGAAGGAATTCCAACTCCATCAGACTACATGAGTCATTAACATAAACAGGGAGGTAACAATGGCCCTGGCCTCAGAGTATGAACGGCATTTAGCTACGTTCAGTACAGTAAATTACTCCATAGATTCTGGCTTTTGTGATTATCTGCACAGCCTACAGACTGCTTTCACAGGTTGTGATGAACAGGGAGACCATCGCCCAGGTCCTGCTTCATGGAAGTTCTTGTTACTTGGTTGCAGAGAGCAGCCTGGCTGAGGCCACACCCTTCCTGGGGCTGCCGTACTTGGCGAATGAGTGATGGCAGTTGTAGGGTGAGGTAAGAGGGCCCAGCCAGTTCAGACAGGCGAAGGACAGCTGTGCCTGGCAATGCTGGTTTTAGGTCTCCCTAGACCAGACGAGGCTTGGTGAGGTCCACGTTGCAGTTGACTACTTTCTCCGTCCAGTTCCTTCACAGGGGTTTTTGCTATTGTTTTTCTTTTTTTTTTTTAATTTTTAATTTTAAAGATGTCGGGTACATCAGGATTAGGTATGCAAATATTCATTATGCAAATTATTGATAAGATGTGCTCCCCACCCCCCGGCAGTTTCCCATGACTGCCAATCCCGCCCCTTCTCCCCTGGCAGTTTCCCACTACTGCCAAGCACTTTCTTATAGTAGTATGATAATTGTTTAAGGTCCACTTATGAGTGAGAACATATGATACTCAGTTCTTTGTTTCTGTAGTAGATCACTGAGGATTATAGATTCTAAGTCCATTCAAGTTGTTGCAAAGTTCATAATTTTGCCCTTCTTTATAGCTGCATAATATTCCATTGTGTTTATGTACTACAGTTTTTATCCAGACCTCTTTTGATGGGCAGCACAGTTGATTCCATATTTTTGCTATTGTGAACAATGATGCAATAAACATGCATTTGCAGATATCTTTTTCATAGAGTGATTTGAGTTTCTCCAGGTATATACACAGAAGGGGGATTGCAGGGTCATATGGAAGGTCGATTTTTAGATCTTTTAGGAATTGTCAAACTATTTTCCACAGAGATTGTACTGATTTACACTCCCACCAACAGTGTAGAAGTGTTCCCCTTTTCCCGCATCCTCTCCAGCATCTGTTGTTTTGTGAGTTATTGATGATGGCCATCCTGATTGGAGTTAGGTGGTATCTCTGTGTGGTTCTAATTTGCATTTCTTTGATGACTAGTGAGGCTGAGCATTTTTTCATGTGTCTGTTGACTGCTCATATGTCTTCTTTTGAGAAGTGTCTGTTCATATCTTTTGCCCACCGTGTAATGGGGCTGTTTGTTTTTTTCTTTTTGGCATGTTTGAGTTCCATGTAGATCCTAGGTGTTAGGCCTTTGTCAGATATACAGTTGGCAAATATTTTTTCCCGGTCTGTGGGCTGTCTCCCTGCAGTCTTGATGGCTTGTTTGGCTTTGCAGAAGCTTGTCAGTTTGATGAGGTCCCACTTGTCTATCTTATCTCATATGGCATGGACACTTGGGGTTTTGATCAAGAATTGGTTGCCAGTTCCAATTTCCATAAGGGTCTCTCCTGCATTTTCTAAGGTTCTTATAGTTTGAGGTGTTACGTTTAGGTCTTTGATCCATTTAGAGTTGATTTTTGTGTATAGTGATAGGTAGGAGTCTTGTTTTAATCTTCTACATGTGGTCAGTCAGTTTTCCCAGCACCATTTACTGAATAGGTTCTCCTCTCCCCAGTGGTTGGTAGTGGAGGTTTTGTCAAAGATGAGTTGATTGAGAGACGGAGATTTTGCTTCTGGAATCTCTATCCTGTTCCATTGGTTTATATGCCTGTTCTCATACCAATACCAGGCTGTTTTGATTATTATAGCTTTATAATAAAGTTTAAAATCTGGGAGTGTGATACCTCCTGCATTTTTTTTTTTTTTTTTTTTTTTTGCTAAGGATTGTTTTGGCCATGGTCATTTATTTTTCCATATGAATTCCTGTCCTTTCCAGGTCTGAGAAGAATTTAATGGGTATTGTGTTAAATCTATAGATTGCCTTGGGTAGGATGGACATCTTAACAATGTTGATTCTTCGTATCAATGAGCATGGAATATTTTTCCATTTGTTTGTGTCATCTTTGATTTCTTTGAGCAGTGGTTTATAGTTTTAGTTGCAAAGATCTTTCACTTCTCTGGTTAGGAAGATGCCAAGGTATTTCTTCTTTGTGTGTGGATATTTTGAATGGGATTGTGCTTTTTATTTGGGTTTCTGTTTGTTTATTTTGGTGTATAGGAATGCAACTGTCTTTTGCACATTTATTTTATACTCTGAGACTTTGCCAAAATCCTTTATCAGTGCAAGGAGGTTTTGACAGATTCTCTTGGGTTTTTGAGGTATAGAATCATGTCGTCTGCAAAAAATGATAACTTAGCTTCCTCTTTTCCTATTTGGATACCCTTGATATCCTCCTCCTGTCTGATTGCTCTAGCTATGACTTCCAATACTATGTTGAACAGGAGGGGTGAGAGTGGGCATCCTTGTCTTGTTCTGGTTTTCAGGGGAAATGGTTCCAATTTCTGTCTGTTTAGCAGTATGTTGGTGGTGGGTTTCTTGTAGGTGGCCTTACTATTTTGAGGTATGTTCCATCTATGCCTAGATGTTTGAGGGTTTTTATCAAGAAGGGATGCCGGATTTTATCAATAGCTTTTTCTGCGTCTAATGATATAATCACGTGGTTTTTGTTTTTACAACTGTTGATGTACTTAATTACATTTATGATCTGAAGAATGTTGAACCAGCCCTGTATCGTGGGGATGAAGCTTACTTGGTCATGGTGGATGATTTTTGAAATGTATTGTTGGATCAGGTTTGCTAGAATCTTGTGGAGAATCTTAGCGTCTATGTTCATCAAAGATATTGGCCTGTAGTTCTCTTTCTTTGTTGGGTCTTTACCCAGTTTGGGTATCAATGTGATGTTAGCTTCATAAAATGATTTTGGGAGAGTTCCATCTTTCTCAATTGCCTGGAATACTTTCAATAGGATTGGTATCAGTTCCTCCTTGTATATTTTGTAGAATTCTGCTGAAAAGCCATCTGGTCCAGGGCTTTTTATTGTAGGTAGTTTTCTTCTCCATAGTTGACTTCCTAGGTTGTTCTTGGTCTATTTAGTGTCTCTATTTAGTGTTCTTGTTTCAACCTGGGGAGGTTGTGCGATGTAAGAAATTTCTCCATTTCCTTTAGGTTTTCAAGTTTGTTTCCATACAAGTGTACATAGTAATCTCTGATAATCTTTCGTATTTCTTTGGGGTCAGTTGTGACTTGATTTTTTGCATTTCTGATTGTGTTCATTTGGGCTTTTTCTTGTCAGCCTAGTTAGAGATCTATCAACCTTATTTATTCTTTCAAGGAACCAGCTTTTTGTTTCGTTGATTTTTTGTATTATATGTTTGTCTTCTATGTCTCGTATTTGGGCTTTTGTTTTGGTGATCTGGATTCTTCTGCTGAAGTTAGAGTTTTGGTGGTCTTGCTTTTCCAGCACCTTTAGGTGATTTGTTAGACTGTTAACTTGTGATCTTTCCATTTTCTTTATGTGTGTTCATAGAGATATGAATTCTCCTCTTAGTACTGCTTTCATGGCATCCCAGATATTTTGATAAGATGTTTCTTCATTTTCATTTTTTTCCAGGAATCTTTTAATTTTTGTTTTGATTTCCGTGTTGACCCAGGAGTTGTTCATCATCATGCTGTTTAGTGTCCATGTCTTTGTGGGTTTGGGGAGAACTTTGCTGGTGTTGATATTTATTTGTATTCCACTGTGGTCTGAGAAAGTGCCTGGCAGTATTTCAATCTTATGAAATTTGTTTATGCTTGATTTATGGTTGAGGTTGTGGTCGCTCTTAGAGTGTGTTCCATGTGGTGATGAGTAAAATGTATATTCCATGGTTACTGGGTTGAGTGTTCTGTAGATATCTATTAATTCCATTTGGTCAAGTGTCACATTGAGGTTCCGGATCTCCTTGTTAATTTTTTGTCTTGATGATCTATCTAAGTTGTTAGTGGGGTACTTAAGTCCCCAGCTATGATAATGTTAGAGTCAATATCTTTTTAAAGTTTATCTAAAAACTGCTTTATGAAAGTTGGTGCTCCTAGGTTGGGTGCATATATGCTTAGGATGGATATTTCTTGTTGATGGATTGAACCTTTTATCATTATGTAGTAAGTTTCCGTATCTTTTTTAATTTTTGATAGCTTAAAGGGCATTTTGTCTGATATTAAGATCGTAACTCCTGCTTTTTTTGTGTGTTCCATTTGCCTGAAAATTTGTTTTCTATCCTCTTTGAGTCTGTGAGTGTCTTTTTTGGTGAAATAAGTCTCCTGAAGACAGTATTTTGCTGCATCATTATATTTTATCCAATTTGCCATTCTATGTCTTTTCTTTTTTTTTCTAGTTAAAAACATTTTATTTAAATATGCCAAATAAAACCCCACATTTTGAGACCATAGAATGTTAATACATTCAACAAAAATTTATATTATCTTACTGCTGTGAATTTACAGAATAATAATCCACATCCATTTTGATTAGATGGTTGAATTACCCTTCCTAGGTTATGCTTTACAGACATCACAATTCCCTTATAATAATGTAAACAAAATAACTTTTCCCTAGAGGATGAACTTGAGAGTTTCAGTCCATTCCTTCACAACTTGCACTTCTGCACAGACTTCCTGACAGGGAATAACTTCTTTTTGGAGATGGAGATCTGGACTGTGATTGACTGCTTCTTGATTGTGAAATAGACCTGGATCTTGATCTTGACCTCAACCAGGATTGGAAATACCTTGATCCTTTTATAGAACCAGACCTAGATCTTCTGAGTGAGACTGATCATGATCTATGAAGAGACACAGATCTTGATCATCGAGGAGACGCTGATCTTAACCTTCTTCCCCTGCTCCTCCTGCATGAGCAAGAGTGTTGCCTTCCTCTGGATCAAGAGTGTGATCTAGACCATGACCTGCTTCTTCTTCGCTGGCTATATTGATGGTAATCATAAGCATAATGTCCCTTTTTGTCACACTCATAGCTATCATTGGGATCAAAGGGATGCTGGGCAGGTGGCCTACCAAAACATGTTCTCTGAGGCATGCCTGTTGATAGTTCAACTCATACTCTGGAACCACAAATCACCTTCCCATTCAGTCTGCACATGGCATCTTCTGCATCTCTAGGGTCTTCAAACTCCACAAAGGCAAATCTCAGAGGATTTCTGGCAATCCACACAGATTTGATTAAGGAAGGACCATAATAACTAAAAGCCCTTTCTAACTCTTCTTTGCCAGCACCAGTTCCCAGATTAACAACATACACCTTGGTTTCTCCTCCATACCACCCATAGCATGACATGATGACAGGCCCATGTGCTCGACTTGCTTGCTCACAGCGCCCAGGGCTCGAGTCACACGGAAGCTGCTACATGCCCTCCCTTGCCAATGGTCCCAGCGGCACTCTCTATGTCTTTTCAGTGGCGCATTTAGTCCATTCACATTCAGGCTAATTAGTGAGATGTGAGAGTTTATCGCTGTCATGAGGTTCTTATAGTTGGTTGTTGTTGATGCTGTTTGTTGTCTTTCTTTTGATTTTTGTATGCTTTCAATCTTTTTCTTGCATTTTTGGGAAGGACATGGCATTCTTTTTTTTCTTTCTTCTGCGTTTAGTACTTTCTTAGGTGTTTCTTGTAGAGCTGATCTGGAGCAAATGGTCTGGAGGTAGCATAAACTCTTAGGGATTGAATTTTTGGGAAGGATTTTAATTCTAAATTACTGATGAAACTTAGCTTAGCTGGGTGGGTAATTCTTGGTTGAAATTGTTTGTCTTTGAGAACATTGAAGATTGGACTCCAGTTTCTCCTAGCCTGAAGTGTTTCTGTAAACAAGTCTGCTGCTGTTCTAATTAATCATCCCTGGTAGGTAATCTGACCTTTCTCTCTGGATACTTTTGGGATTTTTTCTTTTATACCTACTTTGTGTAAGCAAATTACTATGTGTATAGGAGTTGGTCTTCTCATTTTTTGTCTTGCAGGGGTTCCTGAATCTCTTGTGTTTGATTGGTCATGTATGTCTCTGATGAGATGAAGGACATTTTCTTGGATAATTTCATGAAATGTTTGTTCCAGGGTGGTCTCTGTCTTTCTATCTGCCTCAAGGATTCCAATTAATCTTAGATTCAGCCTCTTGATATAATCACTCATCTCTTGGAGGCCTTGTTCTGTCTTTTTAAGCTTCTTTTCTGTTTTTAGCAGTTTGAGTTAGTTCTATTTTGGTCTTCAAGCTCTGAGATTCTTCTGCTTGGTTAATTCTGCTTTCCATGCTTATCAGTTTGTTATTTATTTCATTCACTGTATTCTTTATTGCTGTTATCTGTTATCAACTCCTTCATTCTTTCCTCTTGTCTCTCCTCATTTCTATTTATTCTCTCTATTAGTATCTTGATATCTGGGTTTGTGGTTTGAGACCAGTCATTCTGGGGTTTCTTCATTGTTTGAGTTCTGAAGTCTGTATTCTCAATTGTTGTCTTCCTAAGGGTCTGTATGAGAATCATAATTTTCCTTTGGTTTATCTTCATTCATGAAGGTTCTCCCCCCCACCTTTTAACCTCTTTTAAAATTCTGTTGTTAAGTGATGGGGGAATAGCTTTTACTTCTGTTTTCTCAATCTCTTATTCTTCCTTATGTAGATCCTCTGACTGTTCAATTTTGAAGTTGACCTGGGGGTGGTGGGCTGTGCTTTTTGCAGTTTTGAGATTTGATTAAGGAAGGAGCTATGATTCAGAAGCTATCTGCAGATCCCAGTGTCCGCTGACAGGTGTGTGGTCCCCCTCAAGCCTACTACCCACTACCTTACAATCTGTTCATGAAGTGAGCGTGTATATTTGCCCCATGAAAGCAAAATGAGATAATAGAAAGGAAAAGAATGGAAAAAGGAAGGAGGAAGATGAAAAGAAGGTGAAGAGAGAGAAGAAGAAGAGGGAAAACAGACAGGCACACCATCAGCAAATAAACAGAGAAACAAACAGAGGCAGAAACAAACAAACAAACAAACAAAAAACATATTATCATACAAACAAACAAACCCCCATTGATGTACTTGCCCTCAAAAATACCCATAAACAAACAGAAAATCTAAAAAACAAAAAACATTAAAATAACAGAAACAAAACAAGTATGAGAACATAAAGAAAAACAGAAAGAAAGAGAGAAGAAAAAAATAAAAACAAAGAAACAAACTAACAAAAAACTTGCTCTGTGACCATTTCTGTAACTCCAGGTTCCTTTCCCAAGCACTGCTGCTGCTTTTGGCTGGTGTTGCTTTTCACTGCTGCTGCGTTAGGGAGCACAGCTCTAGTCTCCTCTCAGCTTGGGTCAGACACCCCGCAGACTACTGTGGGAGGAGGATGGGCCAGATCTGGACTCACCTGACTTTGCTGCTGCCGCTGCTGTCAAATCTCCCACTCATATCAGATGTGTCTGTGCCTAGTTCAGCATGGGGGAGGGGCATCTGTCTGAGTCCTATGGTTGATCTCAGAGGGGTGCGGGATAGCCTCTGGGTCTCAGGTTGGAGGCTGGACAGAGCTGGGTGGGGCAATGCAGGTCTCTGCCTGCTCCCAGGACAGAGAAGATGGCACTGGTCAGCATGTCCTCACCAGTGGCAGGGCCCTGTTCCTGATTTCCATGCCCTGCCTTCTCTACAGTTCCTGCTATTAGTGCCCGGTCTGCTGCCACAGGCAATAGCATGGGCCAGGTGGTGATCAGCAGCTGTTCTCTGCTGGTCTCTTTGAAGAGAGACCCGAGAACGGCAGACAATCCTGTGCGCTGGAGGCTTCAATCTCAGGACAGTGATGAGTTGCAGTCACCTTTGGAGGACAGCTCTATGTGCATGAACTGGAGACCCCCTCAGATGGGCTTTCACTCATCCTCCTCCCACATACCCACTCACGCAGAGAGGTCTTTATGGACACTCACTTTTGTGGAGATTCTCATACTCCAACCAGTTCCATTGCCATCTTGCCCCTCTCCTCTTATTTTTATTTTTTTGTTCTGAGTTTGAGTCTCACTCTGTTACTCAGGCTGGAGTGCAGTGGCATGGATTACGACTCACTGCAGCCTCGACCTCTTTGGCTCAGGTGATCCTTCTTCCTCAGTCTCCTGAGTAACTGGGACTACAGGCATGCACCACCACACCTGGGTAACTTTCTGTTTTGTAGAGACAAGGTGTCATTCTGTTTTGTAGGCTGGTCTCAAACTCCTGGGTTCAAGCAACCTTCCTTCTTCAGCCTCCCTAAGTGCTGGGATTACAGGTGTGAGCCACCATGCCCAGCCACCTCATTCACAGGTGTTGATCCCTAATTAACATCTTACCCCTGAACCCCATCTCAGTGTTTGCCTTCTGAGAACCTTAACTTTGACAATTGGTACTGGGTCCCAGAAAGCAGGTAATTAGACAGGGTTTAAGAACTGCATGATGCTCCCTTTGGTTGGCAAAGAGGATCCCATCCCTGAGGCAGGGGAAGCACGGGCAACCCTAGCACACAGTGGTTTCCCATTGTATGAACTGAATGGTGCACATGTGGGGGGCAAGTGCTACAGGCAATGAATGTATCAGGCACTTGAAGTTGGTGGTTGGGAGGGGGATGTAGCTATCAAGGTAACAGCATTGGATGGCAATTCCTAAGCCCCACTGTACAGAAAGATACAGAATAGCCCAGGACTGGTAGCAAGTAACAGAGGGTCAGAAATGGAAGCCAGGGAACCTGATGAGAAATCAAAGAATTGCATATGAAGAAACTTTATCTTCTACAAAAGGCAGTGGGGAAAGAGCCCACCTAAAACAAGCCCAGGACCATAGTCAGAGTGGTTAAACACCAAAGACAGTCGACTACCCAACTAGGGCGAGTTTGTCACACCAAGGTAAGGTCCCTGGGTTTTGGAAAACCTGGGATCCTCAACAATGGGATAGGGACATCTGCGTGGATTCCCCTGGATTTTCAATTTCCAGACTCCTCTGAATCGGAAGCTTGACCCAACTCTGTCTATTTAGGCTTAACTCTCCCCAGCCCCCAGGATGATTCAGGGGCCCCTCTCTGTAAGGCCACGTGTCCCCAGGGCCTGCCTCTATCTCCCCTTCCCACTTTGGGATTTCCTTTAGGAAATCCTTACCTACACTGAGGTTAAAATAATTTTCCTATGTGTTTTTGTAGTTTTACTTTTCACATTCAGGTCTTTAGTCAACCAAAGACAACTAAAGACATGCAATATGATTGCATTTGTGTCTACAGAGGAGCTAGTTTCCTCAACATCATTTACTAAATATTCCATTCTTTGTCCACGGATTCTTTTGTTCTTTTAAGATGGAGTCTCACTCTATCACCTAGGCTGGAGTGCAGTGGTGTGATCACTAGCCTTGAACTCCTGGACTCGGGTGATCCTCCCTCCTCAGTCTCCCAAACAACTAGAACTACAAGCGAGAGACACCATATCTAATTTTTTCTTTGGTAGAGATGGAGTCTCACTATGTCACCCAGACTGGTCTTGAATTCCTGGCCGCAAGTGATCCTCCCACCACAGCCTCAAGTCCTGGGATTATAGGTGTGAGCCATGGTACTTGGCCTGCCCACTGATTCTTGATGTTGCTTCTGACACATTTTGAGCTCTGAAGTGCTCTTAGATCTGTTTTAGGAGTTCCTATTGTGTTCCATTTGTTCGTCTTGTCCTGTCCTGCTTCTTTGGCTTTGTAATATGTCTTAATAACTGGTAAGTAAGGTAGATATCAGTAATAATCATCACTGCAGATGAAGACACCCAGGCTCAGAAAACTTGAGTAAGTCTCTAAGATCACACAACTAATATGTGGCTGAGGCAGGATCTGAACTCAAGTTTCAGTTATTTCAAAGACTGGGCTCTTTCCCCTCCACCAGGCTGTCCTCAGAGCTGGCTTTCTTTCTCACGAAGGAAAAAGGAATGGGAGAGTGTTGATTGCTTTGGCTTCAATCTCCCAGTCTTCAAGGAGGTCAAGTTCCTTCCCAGAAGAAACTGACATTTCCTTTTGGTTTCACATTGTTGGCTTCCCTCAGGACCCCCAAGCAGGGCAGAGAGAGCCAATCCCGAGCTCGGGACCCAGAGAAACATCCCCACTTTGGTAGGTTTTCTGCTTCCTGGACTGTGGCTGCAGGGAAGGCTGGGAAGCCCCATAATTATCTTTAATCTTTTGAAAATAGATTTAAACATATCTGTCCTCTGCTAAAAACAAAATAAACACACAACACTACCCCGTTCAAGAAAAAACAAAACCTGCAATGGCTCCCCAGTGGAGCAATAGACTGCAGTCTTTTGTTTTGTTTGTATTTCTTTT